ATGATATGGGTGTTGAGGACGGGAGGGAAGAGGCACATGATATGGGTGTTGAGGAGGGAAGCTGAAATGCACATAATATGGGTGTTGAGGAGGGCTGAAGGGCACATTAAGACTATTTAGTTTATAATAATTTTTGTTACTCAGACATTTCAATGTCTGAGTACACCTACCTTGCTTGCTCCCGGCAATAGATGTAACTTGACATATGGATCTGATAATCCATTAGAATCCATAGCTTTCAGTCCTTTGGCTCTTAGTATTGTGATGTGTAATGCATTGTTTATGCCATCATACAAAGCTGAATATTCTAAGGTGCCAAGGTGAGCTGTGAAGAGAAAAACATCAAATTATGTTTAGAAGCTATGTTAAAACTAGTGTCGTGTAACATGAAATAGGCATGTACACACTGATAATGGACATGTGGACCAGTGTGCCCTAGTCTAAGCTAATATGATGTGCCACTGACACAGAGATTTGCTGTAACACAACTATTTGTGTAAATTCATCGGCGCATCATTGACCCATCAGAAAATCGTACATTAATATAATACCAGTAATCATGAAAAGCATCCTACTATAGTTATCCAATTTGTAATCCCGAGAATAGAAATTAACACTTTATAAACAAAATAAGTGTAAAAATATTGGAAATTCAGTATGTGACTAATGGTGACATTCTCATACAATTTTATTTTCAACAAGCTGACTAAATTTTTAAGGATTCAATATTGACTTAGGATCCCTACTAACTCAGTCCCATTGAAGGACACACTGATGTTGACGTCAATGGTAGATGTAGATGCCAATAATGAACATGTGGGCACCGATAGTGGACAGACAATTGATGATATTGTCATAAAATGATCAAATCAGAATGAGATCACCCCAATGCACCTACACACCATATATGGAAGCAATTTGAATTGTCATTTGAAGAAGATTTAATGATGGATGACAATTAACTGTGTTTTAGCAGACAGTGAAGCTAAATACTATAAAATTAGACACATGGTTCCATCTAAATAACTAGACAGCTATTTCTATACTATGCATCCTTTCACTAGTTGACTAAGACATCACATTTCATACACTTACTTCCAAAGTCATCATCTGGACTAGACTCGAGTAAAACTTCCTGTGGAGGAGGCGTGATTTCTCTTTCCTTAACTGGACTGTGTGGAGCCGACGATTCTTGTGCATATGGTGACTGCTGTTGGGCATACGCTGGTTGATGTTGTTGTTGTTGTTGTTGTTGTGAGTACGGCGTCTGGTGCTGTGAGTACGATGGATGCTGTGAGTGATAACCACGCCCAGAGCCACGGATATCGTTGGTCCCATAATGGTTGAATGCTCTGTCTACATCATCTTCTTCAATTGTTGCTGATGCACTTGTGGCAGAACGTACTGAACTTGTACGACTGAGATCTGTTGTTGGAATAGATAATAATTAAACCAACTGCCTGTACACCACAGTGATTAATGCAGCTTTTGACCCATCGTGACAATTTCCCCACTACTCGTACTACAAAATATATGTTTTACACCAAACTGTAGTGATAACACTATTATTGATAACTGAAATATCAATATTTGTAAATTTAGTGTATTTGGAATAAATTTAATAGGATCTATGTTCAGCGTAAATCAGCCATTATTGAGAGAAAGACAGAGATTCAAAGGTAATAAATTAACAAAAGGATATATAGCCAATTTTTATTTGAATCTAAAAATAAATTTCTAGTATAAAAACATTCACAGCTTTCTGTATAGTAGTGATTGCTTTATTGAGATTTAGCTTAGTTGCCTTGTTACCTGAATCTAGGATTTAATATGGATGTAAATCTCTAGACCAATATGTATAGTTTAGAGTAGCAGGTGGCTAGAATCACTTGGATAACAGGCAGTGATTATCTTTTCTATATGTAGTGTCGTTTATCTAAGATTGATAATTACACTATATGCTGATGAGGTAAGATACAACAAACAAACTACTACACTAGGCTACAACTTACACATAAGCAAACTGTTGGGAAGTAACAATGATGTGCATATAATACTGAACTATGCAATACTACAAGGATGTTGGTATTATATCTAAAATATACCCAGAATTTATGTTCATTATTCAATGTGTGAGGGCGCACAATGATGTTGGTGTATAAATCCAGAATTTGACATGAAATTATGTTCATTAATCAATGTGAGAGGGCGCTATTTATAAAAATAAACATTCAATGTGATTCCACAGGTTGTTATTCAGCAATTTTTGAAACATCACCCTTGTGAAAGTCGCAAACACATTGTGTACAAACTTTTACCAATAGGTTTTAAATTTACATGATAATACATCCATTTAAAATTCAGTAAAGCGCTTAATTTTCGCTCCTCAGAATTTTTGATTAGCTGATTCGCTGATTTTATGACTTTTTTGATTTTTCGCTCATGTATTCGTGAAAATTTGACGCTTGTGAAATTGAAATAGTTTACAGTATTTTAATTCTCTTTAAATATATGGCTGAGAATTAACATACATGGCTTTAACACCCATTTATTGCATGTTGTCATAATGCTTTACACCGCACCCAACTGGGTATAGCTACCAGACTGAATCAGCCAATGTAATTGGATTTCTTATTAGATCATACACATCATAGAAGTTAGGAGGTAATAATGTCAGTGTTTTCACTGTAGTGGCCGAAAGGTGTGATGAGATGCTGGTGTGATGAAAATCAATTTATTCAAACAATGTGTGTTATAGATGTTAAAATAATGACTAGTTGAACAGCATCTGTACTGTATTATGCATATATCTATTATGAACACTGTAGACTGCTTGAACACACACAATTACTGATAAATATAATCAATGATCAATTCAGGAAAAAGTCTACTAACTATTTTTTCTGAAAATTATTAAAATTATGTCACGATTCCAGTATTGAAATTGACATGCAAATATTCAGTGGGTACTCAGTATAAAACAATAAATAATAAATAAAGTACAGAAATGTAATTTTATAAATTGAGCCAGATGTTACACATTCAAAAAAATTCATTCTGGCTACAACTTCCATAGAATAACAAATTTAAATCAAGCTTTATTCCAATAAAAATGATCTTAAAAAAAATATTGAATACATGCACTCTGTGTCTTTCTGCAAAACTTTTAGGAGGTATATTATCAAGTCTTTCCTATAGGAATCCATGTTGATATACATTTGTGTAATTGACAAAATGAAATCTACACATACACAGCATGGTCATTTCAAATAAGTCAGTACAACAAAGTTATAAAACAATCATCATTTCCAGCCTCAATGTTCAAAGATGTGAGCAACAATAAATACAGCTTAAAGCTTGGTGGTCGTCATGCAGCGTGTGTTTGAATTTCATGTAAATAAACAATGTATTTTACACGCATTGTATACGTCGCTATGAGTCCCATATCGAACAGGACGCGGCACGACGACTGCCACCCTTTAAATAAATAAAAAATCTAATTAAAAAATTGACCTTAATTAAAATTAATTTATTACTTATCAATTAGCATATCAATATTACGTTGCTAGTAGGATTAATGGGTGAAGGTTTGAAGGGGGAAACCGTGCAGAGGGTGGTTATACATGCATGAAACAGCCACATACGACTACAAAGGTCACACCAATTATGACAACCATTTAACAGCAATAAAGATTTAACGCAAACCTCCTGGACTCCGACTATGGTCACTTAAGCTGTCGGTTTCATCATGAAGGGCATCCCCATGACTGCTTTCTGTGGCGCTTGTAGCACCACCACCATACCAACCCCCACCGCTGCCAATGCTAGTGTGACTGTCACCCATGTTGTTACCACCGTATAGAGGGTGTGTGCTCGGTCGACCTATACTGACATTGTCGCTCTCTGGTGCTGACAGAAGAGCATCAAGCGAGGGAAATTAGAAAAAGACAAACATACATGTATCTACAAGAGATACGTGAGAACACAAACCAACATTCTTAACACAGATGATAGTTAGATAGTATAATTCTCTTAAACATGAGATATGAATGACTTTCATGGGTATGCACTTTTCAGACATCTTTACCATGGTGATGTAAAAAAAAGCATTCTAAGGTTGATCAATACAGTTTCATGAAAGTCTTTGGAATTTTTTAAACATCTTGTAAATCAATTGCTTATTGCTATACGAGGTTATAAGCGAAAATAAAAAACTGGGATCATGGACCAAATCTCTGGGATAAACAAAATATTATTTTACAAAGACTATGGAGTTAATACATGGAACTCTATGAGGTAAAAACACGACTAATGGAATTAGAAAATTATTGTTTGAAACTTAAGATATCTAATCAAAAAACAGGACCTATTTATAAAGTTATGGAAGTTTCAGTATTTGCCCTATGCCAATTCATGAAGATAGAATGTGTTCTACTATGAAAACTTCTGTGCGTTCTAACTCAACCATGTTCATGAAATTGTATTGAGCAGCCTTAATTCAGCTTGGGTAGAGAATTCCATATAAGGGAGAGAAAACAAGTTAGAATGAAAGACTAAGTAAGGAATTTGAATAAATATTATTTGTGCTGTTGGCAGAAAACGAGTGGTTGCTATGATAATTAAAATCTTCATTTTAAACTGAAATAAAGTTACATATTAGTTTGAATTGTGTAATGCATGGAATGTCGTATTACGTAAAGTAATTTTGAATGTAGGTCCACAAATTTAGCTCCAGAACAACATTTTTCAAAAAACAAAATCAGATTCAAATTCTTGAAACAATGAGATGTATATCAGTGCCCTATTATATCGTATGAATGTCCCAAGTTTGGCTGAAATCCGTCCATGTATATGTTTTGATTTTGATCCATTTTTATACAAAAATGGCCGCTAGTCTACCATCTTGAATTACATTGTATATCTCAGGCAGATGAATTGATGCAGTCGCACAAATAAAGGTCAACCTATAAGTCCACATTTTGGACTTAGTCAGAATGTTAACCTTATTTTAGAAGGTGGATATTTAGTATGGCATACCATTAATGTGGAGGCGGAATTAATCGTTGATTCGGTCTATAATTATATGCACATATTTCATTTATGAGGCATTATACGTTATCATATTTGATTAAGTTTGCTCTGATATTATATATTTTGAAATCCAAATATAGCAGCCTCGTTTACACTAGCTAACTTGAGGTAGATATCAATCTTGGAATGTTCTGAAACCTGTCTGAATGGTCGATAATTTGGCAATGTTGATTTTTATAAAAAAAAGTCAACTGACTTTTGGGAATTTATATTATTGGCATTTGTCAACTTCCAAAATGGTGCGATGTTCATGAAAATATCTGTTCTATTTCTGGCCAGCAAACCATTGTTGGGAAAGCAAGTACATATGTATTTAATTTCAGCATTTTGATGAATGACAATGAGATTTTGGCACATGCTGATTGGGTCTCTTTTTCAGATATGTACATCTTCATTAATTCTTAAAGATTAACTCTATCTCAATCAAGATCAAGTTCGCCAGTGAAAAAACAGCTAATGTCTTCACAATATTTTATTATTTCTTCCGTGAACTCTGAAGTATTTTAGAACATTTTGATTAAAAAAAACTCATTTCTTACAAAGTGCTAGAAGTTCTAATTATATTTAATAAAAGCTGGCTCATAAAACCATCGCTATGGAAACATGAAAGAGGGAAACAGGTCCCATTAAGTTGAGTTCCTCTGTAAAAGGTCAAAGCTGTAAAAATCTAAGATGAATAAAGTGTAATGCATTATAAGTACAACACAGAATTGCTCTCTTGTCAATCTACTTCAAGCTTTCAAGCAAAACACAATCCCCTCTCAATTGCTATTTAGACACAGGGGTATAAATGTAAACATAACCAAATCAAATGAAACAATCTACTCAGAGCAAGTGAAAATTATCATAAACAAATTATTCCTTGTAACAAAATCATTCTCAAACGATTAGGATGGAGGTTAAAAGAAATTGTTGGTAAAAAATGGGGAGGTTAGAAGAAATTTTATTTGATTATTTTCATGAGTTTCGATCTCTTTAGCTGCTTATTAAACAGGCAAGTAGGAAGCGACTGCTAAATATTTCCCACTAGGTGATGTTCTAGAATGCATATAGACACAAATATTTCACAAAGTTATTTCTCTTGCTTTATCGGTGTACATGAATAACAAAATTATACTTTGGAATATTTCATAAATCATTTAACGTCATTTCAATTTCAATTTCATTTCATCATCAGAAATAAAAAAACACTATATTGGAT